AGAGAGAGAGAGAGAGATCAGTGCTTTGAATGATCACCGGTATTGATTACTTCCACTATTTATTCATTAACAGTTTAATGTCATGAAATAGTAATTAATGCTTAATTAATGCTACCCTTGTTGTGCATCCATATATATATATTCGCCTATTAAAATAATCTAAATAAATAAATAAATGAAGTGACCATCCAGATTATTAACGATAATTTTCTTGTTGATTCGAGTATCACTTTATCAAATCAATGTTCCACTTTAACCAACTGAATTCATAAAATCTCACAAGACATGTGCACGCACAGTGTAAGACTGTTAGCACCCCTGTTTCCCTCGTCTTTTGGGGATTATACTATCTGCAAGTAAAACACAAAAGGCATTTCTGCCCTCGCTTAAAGTGAAAAGATTTGGATAACATGCAGGAATATAATAAGCAGCTAAGCCACTGTAACCACATCAGTTTTGCTCTTGGTATAACTGAGCTTAATGAAAGGTATCTCTGTGGTATGAGCGGCTGATGCTCATACCCCTCAGACCCACTCCCCTGAGAGCTCTAATTAAGGTAAAGGAAGCAGACTCATCTGCATGGCTGATGGCGCTCATGCCACTTTACATGGTGCCAGCTTTATCGTGGAGCTGACTGAAAGAGCCAGAGATGATAAAGAACGAGAGAGAGAGCGTTGAAAAAAAGACTCTTTACTTTAGTACAGTGATCCAACTGCAACCCACTTAATATTCATTCTGTTTCACTTCAGATACTGTATGTCCTCTGTTTGCAATCAATGGAGGATAAAATGGCTGGATGGATATGAGAGGATGGAATGAAATGGATGGAGAGAAAGAAAGACTGGACTAATAAGGTTGAGCAGGCTGGATAAAGGGATGGCCTGGGTGTGCTATATGGGTGAATTCTGTGGCTGTCTCAATAGGAGTGGCACTAGGAGTGGAGGGGTTGGTTGAATGAATAAAGAGAGATGGGACGGTGTGGCACTGACGTAAAATGTAGCCATATATAATCTCAGGCTGCAGACCTGCTCTTCTTATCTCTGCAATGACTTTTTCCATCAGTTGTACAAGTGCTTTATATGTTCTTATCCAGAGATAATACAGCCTATTGAAATCATGGTTAAACCTGTTGGGGTTGATGCTATTTTTACTTAAAGTACCCTAATGATTATAAGTGACTTACAATGTATTTAGTGTTGTCAAAAAGCATAGCTACATATCAATTATGCAATTCTCTAGTCTAGTTACATACTTTCTGACATTCAAAGTATAAGCATGCGAAAACATGCATGTATGGTGAAAACATTAAGTATTGTGTCTTTTTCTGGATAACAGCAATGACACGCTGTTATCCAGAAACCCAAATGGGAAATTATCAAGTTTAAAGATACGGTTGTATTTAAGTTCAATGCAACAAGTGTTGCAAAACACAACTAAAATCCCTCTAGTGTTAGACTATTTCATTACCTGTCACACATTCAATGACCTTGTGCCATGTTTTACGACAGACTAATGGCTGTTCATCTTCTTGATTACACTGACACATGAGAATGGTCAGCTACAGATTCATGTGACGTTGCCAATCTCAGAGATAAATTTATGTGATGAGCGAGCTGGCTATTAGGTGCTTTGAAGGCCCTCCGTGTGTGATGGAACACTAATGTAACATCAGCCGTAAGGCCCGGCGATGATCCTTATAATGACGTCCCGAGGAGCTATTTCAAATGAAATCCTTGCTCTGTAACTGCTGCCCCAGGAGTCCTGGCATGTGTTGAAGGAAAGACGGCAGAGTGGAGCGCACACAGGCGCTCCAAAGGAGGAGGAAGGAGGTGGAGTGTGGATGGAAGAGAGGAAGAGCAAGTGGAGAAAGGATGATGGGAGATGGTCTGAGGGACGCTTGCGGGGAGGGGGTGGGATGAATCAGGCACGCAAAGGGAGGTGTGCGAAGGGGGCCTGGCGCTTGATTCGGGAATCTCAGTTCCATCGTGGTGCCCCAGCAGAGCTTGTTAAACACCTGAGACGCGAAAAGCTCTCCCAAGGCTACGCCAGCTCTAGACAGGTTGCTAACGTGTCACCCTCGGGTGGGATCAGTTCAAAGAAGGCGTGGGTGTCTGGGGGATCATTTATGCAGCATAATAAGCAGTAAGACATCAAGAAGAACATTATGATTGCACTCCTCTCCCTTGCATCATCTGACCCAATCTCATCAAATTATTGTAACACCATTCATCATTTAGTCACACACTACAAAATGTCTACACTGAGGGGGCGGGCGATCTCAGCGTGCAGAGGAAGCCTGGAAAAAAAAAAATCTGTGCGTGTCGTGAAATGCTACAAGTGAGGGATGTGATGCTCTCCTCCTGTTCTCCCTGGCTAAACTTTAGACTCTGGACTCAAAAGATCAGTCGTGTCAGATGAAGAAATAGGGAGCAAAGAAGCTAAAGTCAACCTGT